TTTAAAAAATTTTTTTTTTTTTTTTTTTTTTTTTTTTAAGAAAGGTAGAACGACTCTATTTCTACTCTCTTGTGTGAAACGGAACGTATGGTCTCTCAGTTATGAAAAATTCTTGAAGAGCTGCACATATGATACATTCTTTGATCACGTATCTGTAAAGTACCGGCAGCCGCACTTTATGGATAAGATCTGTATCCACCGTATCTAACTTTTCCGACACCAAGTTTCTCACCGTGTTCCGATCAAATGTATTCAAGCGAGATAGAAGCGAATATGTTATCTCGTTCTATATTTAGCTGCTGCGACATGAGAGCACTGAAATGTTGGATGCAAATCTGTATACAGGTACCGGTGGCATCTTCATAGTTACGTAGTCAAAGGGTGCACCTGGCATAACTACTGCTTTGCCTTCAAGCATTAAACGCGTATAGCTTTGGGGTTAACCGCTGGGGAATTTTGGTATACAAGATTGAGTTTATTAGTAGATAGGAATTAGTAGACATATTCCATGTATTATATAATTGCTGTATGGTTACCTATGTGATTCTCAAAGAGTTGGAAAAGGGAAAATTTATCAGTTCGAGAAATTCCATTTTTCTATTATAAAAATTCCGTAAATTAACTTTAGCGGTTCTCTTAGTTTAACCGCAAACGTCGCTATGTATCGAGACTTTCGTTCGTTTAAAATAAATCTCAATCGCGTATTTTTATGTTAAAAAAAAAAAAAAATACTCGATTGGGATTTATTTTAAACTTTTTAAAGTGGAATTTAATTCCGAAGAGTGGCGAAGAGTGACAGTTGAGCCAGTGTTGAAAAAGAATAGCTCAGTTGACAATTTTCAAGAGTGAGTCTTCACTCTGTAGAATTAGATTCCACTTCAAAGAGAGTACTTATGTTCACACATTGAGGAAATATAACTCAAAATCAGATGTAATAGGAATTCAGGACCCTAATGATTATCGTTGCAAAAAAGAATCGCAGAATCACGATGATCGTGTGGGGTCGTCGCCAACGGCCGTTACCGCATCTACAAGATAAGCAAATACGTTTTTAATGATATACGTCATCGGTCTCTCGCGCTCTCTCCCTCTCTTCTCTCCTCTTCTCTTTGATAGCGGAGATAGCGGAGGCGGATCCATGCGAACGGTCCCCCCGACTTTCCTTTCGATCCCTTCTTCCACATAACTGAACCTGTTCGAATGCGTCGATGAGAAATCGCGAATGTCAGGAACTGAATAATGCTGACACTGCTTATATTCGATGTTGCTCCTTAATTAAGAAAAGTAATTATCTCGGTGAATATGTGCACGCTCTATATGCATAGAGCGTTCTCATGTTGATCTTCCTTATGAGAATGGTCATCGAGGGATAAACCGCTGACTAAATGTGTGTACTAATTTCACAATGTACGGATATTAAAGCCATTTTGTATAGTATGGGGATTAAGATGGTATATATACGTATAACGAACGAACAATGATCGAATAATAAACGCGAAATTAAATTTATTTGCAATTTTCTTTGACGTACTATATCGTGAGCGAAGTAGATTGAACGCGAATTAAACATTTTATTTACTTTCTCTATTCGTTTGTTGTTCATTCATTCATATAAGTCATTTTACAGACGTTAATCTCTATTAGTACTGTTAAATTTGATCGATGCAAAAAGCCGATTGTTTTTCTATCCAGCTTTGATGATTGAATTAGAAAATTGAAATACTTTGAAAAAAAGAGATTCAATAATTTCTCTCTATAGATGAAAAAAAGGTATATACTGAAGCCTCAAGGCAATTTTACTGAGATTCTATTTTCAACTTTATCTAATAAATACGAAACAATTTCTTGTATCTATTTAATATTATATTAAGAAAGAATTTGAACAAATTATTCAATCATTAAATCGATATGAGCACAAACAAATATTAAATTCTATTGTTATTATCAACAAAAATTAACGAAATTTATTCAACTTGATGAAATTAGATACAATACATTAAATATAATTTTTTGAATTTATATATTTTATAAACATCTTAATTTGAGAATCAATATGTTAAAAAAAAATTACATAAAATTATCAATTTTCTTCGCTCAATATTTTGTTACTTATTTTGTAATAATTTTAAATGATATTTATTTGTTATATGTATTGTTTGAAAGTTGAAGAACAATTCGACAAAACCCAATGATCAATTCTTGGTAAAAAAAATTGCCTACTAT